GAGGTAGATCACGACACAGACTTCGAGGAGGTCGCGGAAGATGTGGTTCATGGTGGATTGGAATGTGGCGGGGGCGTTGGTGAGGCCGAAAGGCATTACGAGAAACTCGTAGTGCCCGAAGCGGGAGCGAAAGGCGGTTTTGTGGGAGTCCTCCTCGCGGATGCGGATCTGGTGGAAGCCACTGCGGAGGTCGATCTTGGTGAAGTATTTGGCTCCACGGAGGCGATCAAGAAGTTTGGATATCCGAGGAAGCGGATACTTGTTCTTGATCGTGATCCGGTTCAAGGCGCGGTAGTCCGTGCACATGCGGAGTTCCGAGGTGTCATTCTTCTTGACGAAGAGACAACTGGTACCGAAGGGGGAGGAGCTAGGCTTAATGAATCCTTTTTCAAGGAGTTCATTGAGTTGGCGCTTCATTTCCTCGACCTCGGGGACGGAGAGCTGGTATGGGGGGGTGCAAGGGGGGGAGTGGCCGGGCTCGAGATCGATGGTGTGGGAAACACCTCGGTCGGGAGGTAGTCCGGCGGGCAAGGATTCGGGAAACATGTCTTTGAATTCGGATAGGAGGGCGGAGATCTGAGGGTCGGAGGGGGGGTCTTGGTCGGGATTGTCCGTTGGAAGCAAGTACTCGGGACGGTCGCGGTCAATGACAAGGCGATAGTAGGCGGAGTTGGGGTGCTCACGGGTCATGTGAAGAAATTGGTGAGGAGAGACGGGGGAAGGGGTGGAGGGAGGGAGAAGGTAGGGGATGTCAAGGGGTGGATCGGGAGGGATGGAGAGGCAGACGAAAGAGGGGTAGAAGGTATAGGGCATGTAGCGGTCGAGCCAAGGAGTCCCGAGTACGATGTCGCACATGAGGTGCATGACATCGAAGGAGACCTGACTGCGAAGAGGGCCGACAGTCATTGTGGTCTCGCGGACGGTGCGGTCGACGACGATGGCGGAGTCCTTATCCCCTAGGCGGATGGTGATCGGGGAATCATAGCCGGTGGAAGGGAGGCCGGCTTTGCGGACACATGCCTCCGTGATGAAGTTGCCGGTGGCACCAATGTCGAGAAGGGCCCGGAACTTCACCGTCGATGCTCCAAAGGAGATGGCGACGAACTTGAGCTGGAACTGGGCGGTCCCGGCACAAGCGGAGGAGATCATGGCGTTGAGGCGGCGCTGCTCGAGGCCTAATCTAAAAAGCCGAGTGTGTCGGTCTTGTTCCTCAATGAGATCAGAGAAAGTGATGGTGGAGGGGTTGGGGAGAAGGGTAGTGGAACATGTGGCCGTGGGGTGCTCAGCCGACGGAATAGAGGACGTCGTCGGGAGGAGGGCAGGCGGAGTAGACTGCGACACCTGGGGGGTGTCTGGTGTGAAAGTCGTCGCTGGCAGACGAATTGTTGATGCCAGGACATGGCTACAAGGGGCGGGGGGACAGTGTTTAAGAGGAGGAGGACCCAGAGGCCGCGGTGAAGGAGGAGGAAGTGGTTGTGGGAGGGCTGGATCCGGTGGGGCGGGAAGTCTGGTGGGTGGAGCGGCCGGCCTTGGGGCAATGGGTTTGTTGATGCCCTAGCTGGCGGCAACGGAAACAACCACCGTTGGCCTGGAGGAAGGCGCGTTCGGCAGGGGTGAGCTTTTTGAGACGAGGGGGTTGGGGGGAGGAGGAAAGCTGGGAGGCCAGGCGTTGCCGTTCCATCCTCATGAGATGGACAGCCTGGAAATCTTCCTCGGTGAATTGGGCTGGATCAAGGGACTCGGGAGAGGAGTCAAAGCTGTCGTCGGAGGGGAGTGACGAGTCGTCAGAGGCCATGTTGTGGAAGAACCGGGTGCGGTTGGGGGCGGCTGGTCGTTGAGAGCGGAGGTGAGGAAGGCGATCATAGTGGAGAAGGCGGGTAAGGAGATCAGTGAGAGGGAGGTCGGGCTCATGGGCGAGGGTTGCGGTGAGGTGGGGAAAGCATACCCGCTTGATGCGGGAGATGAAGACGTAGTCGGGAATGAAAGTTGACGGGATGTGGAGGCGGAGGGAGCGAATATAATGGATGAATCGCTCGGTGGGGCTGGTTTGGCGGAGGTTGCAAAATTGATCGATGTAGTCATCGATGGTCTTTTGCGGACGGAAGGTGGCGATGAGAAGGTCGGCCCATTGAAGGAAGGTGATGCGGGGGAGGCCGTTGGCTCGACGGTTGTTGGCTTCGGTTAACCACCATTGAGCGGCGGCGCCTTGGAGGCGGGAGGTTGCAGTGGGGAGCCAATGAGCGAGGGGCATGTTGTGGAGGTCGAAAGCATTTTGGATTTGAGAGAGGAAATGGACGACGTCCTCGCGGGGGAGGCCGGAGAACGTCGCGATATCGGTGGCGCGGAAGGAGCGGGGAATGTACCCGTTGCGGGGGACGAGTTGTTGAAGTTGCGGTCGTCAGGAGAGGTGTCGTAGCAGGTGTGATCCTGACTGCGGTCACCAAGGAGGTAGCAAGGAGGATGTTGGGGTATGGCGGGGTAAACGCCCGAAAGGACTTGGGAGTAAGAGGGGTGGACAGAGGGGATGGTGGAACTAGTCAGGAGAGGTTGGGTGAAGGGGGAGGAGAGGCGAAGGGGAGTGGTTCGCGTAGTGGTGGAAGCGCTTGTAGTAGGTTGTGAGGAGGGGAGGGAAACGGGAAGGGAAATGACGGGGGTGGAAGAAGGTGTGGTGGAGGACGGTGGGGGGGGGGGTGTTGGATGATGAGGCCTGGCCGGCTTGGCCGGCGGAGAGGCTTTGGCCAGATTGGCTGGAGGAGGCGGGTTGGTTATGTTGGCCGGAAGAAGATGGTTGGCCGGTTTGGCCGGCGGGGGTGGATTGGATGGATTGGCCGGAGGAGGAGGGGGGTGGTGAAGTCGTGACGACGGTGATGACGGGTGCGTGGTTTTCGAGGGAGGTGACGCGATCGGATATGGAGGTTATGGACGCCTCGATGTTGCGGAGCGAGGCAGTGAGTGTTTGAAACATGGAGAGGAGAGATGTGTTCTCCTCGGTGCCTGGCTGGTTGACAAGCTCGCGGTGGATGTCCTCGACGGAATCCATGTGGAGCGAGCCCATGTTGATGCTTGAGGTGGCTTCGGCCATGGGGAGGGATGAAGGTGGTTCAGCGGGAGAGGATGGAGTGGAGGGGACAACGGTGGTGATAGCAACGGCGGAGGTGGCAGCAGCGGCAGCAGCAGTGGTGGCGGAGACCGTGGCAGCGGCGTCGCCGGCGGCGCGTTGGGAGTTCTTTGTTTGCCGGGGCATGCGGAGAGTGGGGGGAAGGAATTAATATAGAATAAAATTTTATTCGAAATTAAGTCCGGATGATGGGAGCAAAAAAAATATTATTATTATTATTATTATTATTATTTATTTATTTATTTTATTTTATTTATTTATTTTTGGGGGAGAGGACGAATGGGAGATTAGGAAATTTTGGAAATTTCGAAAATTCAGAGCATAAAATCGAAAAATAATTGATTGCGAAAATAAATGCCGCTTTTAAATTTATTCCAAAATTTATTTACAAGAAAGAATTTTGAAACAGATTTTGAAAAGGAATAGATGCCACTTGAATTGAAAATAAAAATAAAAATTGTTGCAAAATTTCAGATTTCAAAAATGGATTAATTCGAAGGGATTAAGAGCATATAGGGAAAAAGGATTAATTAATTTTCAAAATATTTCGAATTAAATACATGAAATAATTATTTTCGATAAAATAATTATATTTATTTCTATTTTTTTTTTTTTTTTTATTTATTTATTTATTTATTTATTTATTTATTTATTTWTTTATTTATTTATTTATTTATTCAAAACTTTAAAAACAATAATTAAATTTAATTTCGAATTTATTTTGTAATTGGCGAAGAAGGGGGAAACTTTTTTGGGCTAAATGTGTGAAGGAACAAAAAAATGAAAGAAAAATTTTAAATTAAATTGTAATTAATTCAAGGGTTTACAAAATTAAATTCCGATTTATTTGATTTATAAAAGGAAAAACTTCTGGAAACAATTTCGAATTAAATTCAAAATTAATTTTCAAAAATGTCGAAAAAGCAAGTGGAATCAATTAAAATCGGGAATTGGAATTTTCGGAATAATCAATTTAAAGCGAAATTTTCATATTTGAAATTTCAGAAAAAGATTAATAAAAGCGTAGTTGAATTGTAAAAAGTAGTTCCAAAGAAATTTGAAAAGGAATAAAAGTATTCAAAAAAGAGATGAATTGTTTTAAAGAAATTGTGAAAAAGAAATTCGGAAAGAACTAACTACAACGCGTTTTCAAAAGAAATGTCGAACGGGCTTATCGCAGATTGTTACAAAAGTATTTCAAAAAAATACTAATTAATGTTTGGTTGTTGATAAGC